TAGAAATGAATTACATGAGAGCTTGCAGGAAAAATGGAAACGTTTATAAAAATAAAAGAAATGATAAAAATTTGTCAATACTGTAAAAACTTTCGCGATGAAACTTTTTATATGAAGATTTTATGACAACTTAAATTTAAATTCTTTTTACAAAAATTCAAACATTTTATTTTTGTTCCTTTTTTTCAAAATAACAATAAACCCAACACCAATACTTGCACAACGATACTCATTTTCAATCGTACAAATTATAAATAAAACGAATAATTTATGAAATTCTCTTCTCCTAAAAAGTTCTGTAGGCCAATTAGATTTTTTTATGCTTAGAAGTGTTAACTGCTTCCGAGATAACTTTTTATATCAGCTGAATTTGCTGATAGTCACTGAATCATAAGTAGATATACTTATAAAGCGATCCTTTTCGAATGATATTTCATTCTTTGCAACGTTCTGACTAAAACATAAACATGAAAATCGTTATTGCAGTTCTCTTGATCGTTTGTGTCTTCTTCGTTATCGAATCTGAGGCAAGCCCTGTTTCAGTTAGTATCGAAGATTTGGTATTGAGTGGTCCAGGAGGTGCAGTTGCAATGGCAGCTAATGAAAGAATTCACAGTAATTTTAATTATCTTTTTGTGCTTTTTTTTATTATTCTTTTCGTTTGCACTCTTTCAGAACGAGAGGCTAGAAATGGACATAAAAAATCGTTGGAAGATTTGGAAGATGTGGTATTGAGTGGTCCAGGAGGTGCAATGGCAGCTAACCAAGGAGTTCAAAGTAATTTTGTTGATAGTTCACAGAAGCACGTCGGTAGGGTGAAGTATTGCTCAAGTCGTATGCGAAGTATAGATTTGCTTTGAAACCCTTCAACAGCAAATTCCACTACAAAAGACTAGTCGGTGTCAATCAGGCTACCAAAGCACTGAATGACTTATTCCTATACTTCGCTATACTTCTCATTATATCGTTCACTAACACATTTCCAACAATATGCAAAGATCGTCTGAAGGTTTGGAAGAGTTGCTGCAACGTTATCAGGCAAATATTTTGTATTATTATTTGTAAAAGTCAAAGTTGATATTTCAGTATCAATTGGTTCAGAAAGTATTTCTCCCTTTTCACGAACTGCCACATCGACATAACAAGTTACAACAGGACGCCTATGGGCGTTCTTTATTTCTTTTCTACATTTCAATATCTCATCTGAAGCAACAGATGATAAGCCAAAAATAAACAGCAGGAAACAGATCCGAGTTACTTTTTTGCTATAACAGGAATCCAAATAATTTTGGAAATATTAATGGAAATTTTATTTATTAATTACCCCATTTTAAGTAGCTTGTGCTCAACCTAGAACGATCAGCAAACAACTGAATCAGTTTTTTAGGCCTGACAAATATTTTCAAATAAATTTTGCGAC